ATGACTAATTTGCAAGTACAAAGGAAGCTGTTTAATTATGCTCTAAAAGTTCACTTAAATCAGTGAAATCTTAGGCCTTGGTTTTCTTATAAACAATATGTTCAAACCTGTGGTAAATAGAAAAAATGACGTAATGGAACTCCAGGTACTTATCCTCCATCTTCAGCATTCTGCTTTTGTGGTGGGAGGAGGGGGGAGGTTTATTGGGGGGTGTAACTGGGGTTTGCATCCAGGGTTTTGATATTGCAAAGCAAATGCTCTACCTCTTGAGCCCCACATCCAATGCATTTTCCTCTGGTTATTTTGAAGATGAGTCTCTCGAACTATTTCCTCATGCTGGGCTCGAACTGTGATCCTTCCCAGTGTCAGCTTCCCAAGTGTCTAGAATTACACACATGGGCCACCGGTGTCCTGCATTTTGCTTCATCTCACTTTCCCTTGTACTCATACTTCCCCTGCCCTGAGTATTTTAAAGCAAATCTTACCCACCATATCACTTTACCTGTAAATGCTTTAAGACTTTTTAATCTTGGCTTCAATACTAGTATCACACTAGGTAAAAGTAACAATAATTCCATCATATTTAATACCCAGTTTATTTCTTTTGTTCCTAGTTTTCTCAAAAAATCATTTTTCCGTAGACCTTTGGAATAAAGTTTCAAATATTGTACACACATATACCTCTTTAAGTCTCTTAAAATAACTGTATTTTAAATGTTGCTTGGACTCTTAGTGTAACCCATGAAAAGTAGCGTGACCTTTCAATGGAAGGAAGTACAGTGTTTGTGTATGATACATAGGAATGTATAGACCTAATTGCAGCACAAGTGGAGTGACTCCCTCACCTTGGGAATAAGACATCCTCATTCTGCTTGTATTTCTCATGTTGTAGATTATACATGGGGGCTGTGTGTTAGTGAACTAGCCATTGAATCAACCCAAGCATGAGCAATAAGATGGAAAGCTAGTTTCTTCCCCTTTTAGCAACTATGGTTTCACGTTTGTGTTCTTTAAAAGAGGTGCTTTTGGTCCTTGTTCTTAAGGAATTACTTTAAATGATATGAAAAGGTTTGTGCTTAAAGATTCACAACCTAAATTTATGTTTCATTTTAGAGATGGTATGTGATAGTTTTTGTTCATGGTGTTGGGAATTGAACCCACGGTCTTGCTCATGCCAGGCAAGTGTTTTTGAGTTACATCCCTAGTTCCTGATGCATTCTTTAAAAATCACTTCACATTGCCTGCAAAGTTTTGTACATATTTCTGATATTTTCACATGCTACTTCCTAAGTAATTACATATAACTTATGTCATATAGAAGTAATAGTTTTTGAATTTCTGTATTGTTACTGTCGTTAATAAATGACTATTTGGCTTATGCGTAGTGTTTTCCCTTGGGGAGGATATGTTTTCATGGTAGGGGATCATTGACTGGCTTAAAGATTTGTTTGTGTTGGGCTGTTTTCCATAATACTGAATTAGATGTAAGCTTAGCAGACATTTCATGTGCATGTATATGGGAAAACTTAACAAAACATTCTCTGAATTTGTTTTTAGGCTTCTTGGTAACTCTAGGATAAGAACTGGCTTCATAACATTTGACAGCAGAATTCATTTCTACAGTCTTCAAGGAAGCCTCTCCCAACTGCAGGTGCTAATAGTTTCAGACATTGAAGGTATGTGTTTTATACTTACATTTATTAAACTGCCTCAGGAATTTTCCATTTTGGAAATATTTCTTGACCATTTGGCAAATTAGCAGTGTATGGTATGTGCTTATTCTGTGAAGAAAAGTCTTGACTATAAAGTCATTAGATTGTTGGAGTTGTAAGATTCCTTCGGTCCAATCTCTCTCTTTAGAAAAGAGGAAACAAAACAAGTTAATCTTCAGTTTATTAAATTTAGCCTTCTTTTTCCTTCTCATTCACTTAAGTTTGTTGAGGGCTGAGGATGTAGCATGCTTGCCGAGCATGTACAAGACTCTGTGTTCAGCCCGGCACCAGTGGTTCTTGCCTTTAATCCTAGGTACTTGGGAGGCTGTCCCAGGCAAATAGTTTGCCAGACCACATCTCAACCTATAGCTGGGCTCAGTGGCACACACCTGTCATCCAAGCAACAGTGGGAACCCTAAATAGGATGACAGCAGTCCAGACCAGCCTGGGCAAACATCCAGACCCTATCTCCAAAGGAACCAGTGACAGAAGACCTGGAGGCATTTCTCAGGTGGTAGAGGATCTGCCTCGAAAATACAAAGCCTTGAGTGCAGTAGAGCACCTGGCTAGCAAGCGTAAGCCCTGAGTTCAAACCCTGATGCCACCAAAAAAAATTAAGGGGGACCCAAAATTTTAATCCCAGTGCCACAAAAGGAAAGATAGCAATATCGGGATTTAAGGATGTACATGGAGACCCCAAAGGTGTATAGTAAACTTGGGAATGAACCTAATACATGTGACTAATCGATTTTTTTTCCCCTCACATTCTTCAATTGATTTTTGACAGCAGTGCCAAGACCATGGGGGAAATGATGGTCTTTTCAACAAATGATTTTCAACAATCGAAACATGCAAAAGAGTGAAGCTGGATGCATACCTTGTACCATTTAAATGGTACCTTGAACCATTTAAAGAAAATTAACTAAAACTGAAGTAAAGACCAAACTGAAGAGCTAAAAATATAAAACATAGGGGAAAATCTTCATGACATTGTAGAGATGGCACCAAAAGCACAGGCAGTAGAGGAGAAAGGCATAGATTTTATCAATATGAAAAATTTGTTTTTTTCAAAAAAGTCCAAAAACTCACAAGTTAACTTCATATCCATCAGGGGATGGCTAGTTCTTAAAAAATGGAAAACAATACATATTGGCAAAGTGTGGCATATAGCACCCCTGTGGCTTGATGGTAGGAGTAGAAATGGTGCAGCTGCTATGGAAAACTGTGGTAGTTCCTCAGCGTTGTAAAATTAACATATGATTTCACAATTCCACTTCTCATTTTATACTTGAAAAAATTAAAGCAGAGACTCAGACAGCCTTGTGGGTGGCGGGAGGGATGCTGAGAGTCACTGCTGGTCACTGTGGGAAGCACATTAGCCAGGCTGATCTCACTGCCCTTTGCTTTTCTCATTCACAGAGTGTCATTGGGGTCAGTTCAAAGAAACTCTTATTACCTGCCTAGAAATTCCTGTGACATAATACAATGAGAGGTGAGCAGAAGTGTCTGAAGGGGGATGTTATGTACCCTGTAAATGCATATATGCTGTAGGGGTGACGTTTTCACTAGCAAGTCTATGGACTCTGCTCTTGGCAGTGGTCATCGTGCCATAATGCAAAGTATCTTTTTTTTAACCATTAATTCTCTTTATTTTACATCCTAACCTGAAGAGGTAGTTGGTTTACATTTTGTTTTCCTTAGCAATAATACTAACTACTGGGCAAGTTAATATTTATTAACTTTTTTAACTTACAGTCTTGCTTGGCTATTGCATGTTCTAGAACTATAAGCAAGATCTCTTGCTTGCTGATTTATGTTGATTTAAAATGGCTTTCTTTTCACTTCATCTACCTCATCATTTACTGTAGTGTCTGTAGATTCTCTGACCATCATCATAACTCAGTGTCTCGTCTGTTGTATTAGATACTGACTTGGTGTGAGAAAGAGTTTTAATTGTAACACCCTTGAATTTTCTTGCCTCATTTCACAAGCTTTTCCAGAATTTACTGAAAACTTTGCCACAAATGTTGACCAAGAGTCTGGAGACCCAGAGTGCCTTGGGTCCTGCATTTCAGGCTGCCTTTGAGCTGATGTCCCCAACTGGTGGGCGAATGTCTGTCTTTTAAACACAACTCCCAAATCTTGGTGTGGGAGCTCTTAAACCAAGAGAGGAACCCAACCACAGGTCATCTGCTAAGGTTAGGAAATCATGAAGTCCATCGCATGATTTACACTGGAGCCCTTATCCCTTTGGCAACAGAGCTTTTTTGTTTGTTCTGATGTACTTTTCAGTGTGGGGAGGAGGGTGATAAGGAAATGGGAAAAGGGTTTCACTCTTCTGTAGACATACCTATTTGATTACAGTTGTCTCTACCTGATGCCCCCATGCCTTGTTTGCAATATTTTTAGGAGGCCACTATAATCCAACCTGGCTTTGATGAGAAAGTCTGGGAAACTAAGGAAATACACTTGCTAGGGACACGGTGGAACCTGGATGACCAGTTAGCAGCGGCCGTAATTTGCTGTATTGTCAGTTGCTTTTGAGCAACTTGTGTTTATGATGTCAAGAGTTTGAGACATACATTTCCCAAAAGATGAGAGAGAAACCAGTATCTTATTCTGCTAATGATGTCACTCCTAGAGACAGACTGCCTAATGTTTTACTGCATATTACATTATTACTACATTGTAACATTACAAAAATTCTTACAATATATCATATTTGAATTCACCCCTGTACAAAAATTCTTACAATATATCATATTTGAATTCACCCCCTGCATCATTCTCCTTTATCTCCCCCTCCCCCCAATTCCTGGAATAGTTTCAGCAGGTCTCATTTTTTTATTCTTATGCAGCATATGTGTCTTCTTTTTTAGTCTGTTCTGGCAGGGTCTCATTAAGTAGCCCAGGCTGGCCTTGAACTCACCATCCTTCCTCAGCCTCCCAATTGCTGGAGCTACAGGCATGTACCACCACACCTGCCCAGTACATGCTTCTTAATGAAGAATCAAATAGTATGAAAATGCAAAAGGTTTGAGTAGAATGCCTCAGAAATAGTTGTTATTAACATACATAGGCCTGGGTGTGTTTCTCGAGTTGTAGAATGCCTACTTAGCAAGGGTGAAGCACTGAGTATAAACCCCAGTACTGCCCCAAAATAAAAAACAAAGAAACACATGTAGAGGTGGGTCAATGATATTACAATTGCTATACACATATGTGGATGTTTATTTACATTTTTGATAATGATTTTTAAAGTTTCTCTTTGTTATTTTTTATTCGTAGAAAATACACCTGACTCCATCCTCTGACTTCTATAAGAAATTAGCCTTGGACTGTTCTGGTCAGCAGGTAGCTGTTGACTTACTCCTTCTCAGTGGACAGTATTCTGATTGGGCTTCTCCGGGTAAGTTCGTCATGATTGTTTTCTTCAGTGAGGGGTGAAATGACATTTATGTGATGCTGTTTTTGAGTAGGAGGCAATGTAAAAGCATTTATTCCCTTGAGAGAGTCGGTCAGGTTGGTCTGTGAGATGGAGAGTAGCTGTGTTGCCCAGGCTGGTCTCAAATTTTCAGATGCAAGTGTCCCTCCCCCAGTAAGGAGGAGGGAGCTACAGATGTGCGCCATCACTCCTTCTAATCAGTGTAATCAGTATAAACCCTAACAGTGCTCTACTTCTATTTAGTAGGAGAGAAATAGAGAAGTTTCCATACCACTACATAAAGGGATGGATTATTCTTTTTGACAGGCTCTTGAGAAGTTAGAGAAAAGCTGAGTGAAATGCCTGCAGTCACTTTGGTGTGGTAATAGTAGCATCATTTGAAAGGAGTTTGTGGGACTGTCAGAAGGAGGAGCATTTGGGGTTGGGAACCAGCAGGAGTCTGGAGGATGAAAGGAGAGGGTGAGGGGGGTGAATATGATGAAGTGTTTCATACTTGAGAATGAAAATAGAATAATCAGACCATTAAAAATTGTCTAAAAATGATGGGAGGAAGATAAGAAAGAGTAATAGTGGGGTTGAATCTGATCAAAGTACATTATATGTGTGTATGGAAATATAATAACAAAACCCCTTTGTGTAATATATGTGAGAAAAAAAGAAAAAAAATGAAATTAAAATGGCTGATGTTAGCATTCTAAGTAAGGCAGATCTCAGCTGGTGAGACAGCGTTCTGCATTCATGCATGCACAATAAGCACCACAACAGCTGGCACAAGTAGTATATAAAGACATACAGAAATGTGTAGAGATCCTTTTTAATAAAAAGGATCATGTGCCTGGAGGCTGAGACAGGAGGATCACAAGTTCTAGGCTAGCCTGAACTCTGAGGTGAGACACTGTCTCAAAATCAGAATGTTAAAAATAAACATATAATCAGTAGTGCGTTGTCTTCCAGGTTGTATTTCTTGGTACTCAGCAGGTAGCATATATTACTATTCATCTTACCATCATCAGCACAATCCAGACCAAGTACAGAAATTACAGAAGGAACTACAGAGGTAACTCACTCAGAAGATTGGCTTTGAGGCAGTTAGGAGGATTCGGTGCACCAAGGTGGGAACACTATTTTTTTTCCACATAGAAGCAAATATTGTTTTTTATACCAATAAATATATATGTTTTCACCAGTTTTAGCTTAAAGGATTTACACTGCTGGGATACTTTGCTAACTTTGTAAGATGTAATTACACAATATGCAATTAAGAAGTGAGAAGAAACACTATCAAAAAATAGACTAGCTGGAGGTGTGGCCCAAGTGAGAGCACCTGCCTAGCAAGCAGAGGGACTTGAATTCAAAGCCCAATACTGAAAAAAAAAGAGACTGTTGTGACTAAATTAAAAAATACTGAACTATACAGTTTACAATGGTGAATTTTATAGTATGTGAAATATCTCAGTTTTAAAAACAAGCAACCATGTCTGGAAGGAAAATAGGGCTATGTTACTACTGGATTATTTATTGTACTTATTGAACAATTACAGTAGTAGTGGAAGGTCTTTTTTTCTTTTTTGATGGGAGGTAGTGGTCTTGAACTTGCCTCACCTCCCACGTAGCTAGGACTACAGACACACACCACCATGCCTGACTTAAAAAACGTTCTTTGGATATTGGTGTTTCAACTCAGGACCCTGTGCTTGGTAGGTAATCACTCTACAACCTGAGCCATGCCTGTAGCACTTTTTTTGTTTTAATTAAACAATTTTTTAAATCATGGTAAAATAATCACAAAATTGGCTATTCCAATCTTTAAAAATTTTTATCCATTTATTGTTTTTTTGAGGTTGGGCCTCACTATGTAGCCCAGGCTGCCTAGCCTCGAACTTATGATTCTCGTGCCTCCACCTTCTGAGTGCCTTTAAAAAAATTTTTTTTTTGCCTTGCTGGTAATTGAACCCATGCTTTACACATGCTAGGCAAGCACTCTACCACTTAACTACCTCCCCCCTCCTGCGCCTCGCCCCAATATTTTTCCCTCTTTGGTTGTACTAGGATTGAACTCAGGGCCTTGAGCTTGCTAGGCAGGCACTCTACTAGTGGAGCCACGTCTCCAGCCCTCCTAACTATTTTTAATTGTATGTAGCACAGTGGCTTTCTCATTCTTACATCCATCTCCAGAAGGAGGACATCTTTGGAGTTTTGGTCTGCTTCTTGGTTTTTCATTTTTCTACATTATCAACCTGGTTCTAATTTTTTATTCATGCGTAAATGTTTTTGATCCTTAAGGGGTGTGAAGCAGTATTTTTTGGGGGGAAGGTCTGGGATTTGATCTCAGGATTTCCCACTTGCAAAGCAGGCCCTCTAATGCTTGAGCCACACCTTCAGTCCATTTGCTCTGATTATGTTGGAGATGGGGTCTCAGGAAGTATTTGCCCAGGCTGGCCTCAAATCATGATCATCCTGATGTCAGCCTTCCTAGTAGCTAAAGATTAGGGGTGTGGACTGCTGGCTCCCAGCCAAGCTGGAGTCATTGTTAAGGCTGAAAAATTACATGAAACCTACAGAAAAAAAAAAATAAAAGGATCCATTAATCTACCCAATATATTTTGAAATCTATTGATCAGGCTGTTTGCCTGTCTTACTGGGTACAGGTGGCTCACACCTGTAATCCTTAGGTACTTAGGAGACAGCGATCAGGAGGATTGCGACTCAAAGCCATCCCCAGCAAATGGTTCATGAGAGCCTATCTCAAAAATACCTAGCTCTAAAAAGGACTGAAGGAGTGGCTTAAGTGGTAGAGCACCTGCCTAGCAAGCATGAGGCCCTGAGTTCAAGCCCCAGTACCAGAAAAAACCCAAAAACTCCACAAAACTATTTGCCTATCAAATGTTTGTTCTCTATTACCCCTCACTATAATAATGTGCCTTCACTGAATTCATTTATTTTAATATTTTTTAGTTCCATATTTTTGGAGGAGTGGTACTGAAGATTGAAGCCAGGACCTCATAGACACTAAGTGTTCACTGTACCAAGCCCCACTGTATTCATGTTTTGAAAGGCACATTTGTTGGATCCCATTCATTTATTCAAGATTGGTAGAATTCAGAAATGTTTATCTCTCCAGAGGGTGCCTGCTAATTAAGAGGAAATGTTTGTTCTAAAAGTGCTTAAGGCTTTTTCTACTTGATGAATCAGAGACTATTTATATTACCTTACTTTTCATAAAGAGCCTGAGAACTGGGCTGAGGGTGTGGTTGAAGTGCATGCCTAGCAAGTGCAAGGCCCTGAGTTTGAATCCCAGTTACCCTCTCCTCCCCCCAGAAAAATAAGAGTAGGAAGAGCCTGGGAAAATGCCAACAAACTAGGCTTGAGCTTCTCTGTAGAGAACACTGTGTGGTTAACTGGCCTCGTTTTTTCTTTTATGATCAATTAATTTCATTAGAAATCATTGATAGGAGAGAGAGAGGGAGAGGGAGGAAGGAAGGAAGAGAGAGAGAGAGAGAGAGAGAGAGAGGGGAGTACAGGCAGATTATGGTACAGCTGTATGGTAGATGGCATGTTTAGCATGTCTGAGGCCCAGGGTTCAACCCCAGCATGACGGGGGAAAAAAGGTGAAGTATTAAAATATTTAAAAAGAGAAATCATAGTCCACTAGGTCCCATTCTCTGGCTTCTTATCCTTTTAAAAATTTTCCCACGCATAGATAAACATATATTTTAACCTTAATTTCAAGTTGAAAAGGTGGATCTCACAAGCACATTTTTTGGAAGGGGACATAATAAGGCACTTTAATTGTCATAGAGGAATAAATTCAAATGAATGAAAATGTGTAAGAGGACATAACTTACCAGAATGATCAACCTGCCAAATACCAGGGAAATGAATATTAAAGCCAGGGCAGAGCACAAAGCAGACCTATATTATGCCACTAGCATAGATATGGGTAAAGGTGGGCACGGTTCCTTAGGGTCTTTGGGCACCAACTACTGAAGAAACCCCTGAGAAATGCTTTCCCCAGCTGAGCGGTGTGGCTCAGTTGCCACTGAGCCCACCTTGCATGCATAAGTCCCTGAGTTCTCTCCCAAACAAACAAACAAAAAAACCAGAAAAAAGTCTGCAAGAAATGTTCTCATGCAACATCATGAGGACCATGCAGCAGGCTTGGGGAGATGGTGTATTCACAAATCATAAAGTACCCACCAGGATCTGGTCCCGTGGGACCTGCAGCAGCCACAGAAACAGACTTCCCCCTCTCTCCCCATAAACTCAGAACCATCCTGGGCCTGATCCGCCCTCAGTCTGCCATGCTATCTCCCTCTTCCTACCCAGGTGCCACTCCACCAGCCCTTTTTTTGGGTTGGATATTTTCGAGATAAGGTCTCTCAAACCATTTTCCTGCAAATGTCTTTGAACCTCAGTCCTCTTGATCTCTGTCTACTGAGTAGCTGGGATTACAGGCATAAGACACCTGGCTAGACATCATGTTTTATTTAATGAAACAAAACAAGGCTGTGCAGTAGAAGAGTTGTCAATTTCGGACTTTTTCCAAATATTTGAATATTTGCATGTACATCATAAGATATCTTGGGAATGGGATCAGGTCTTAACATAAAGTTCACTTGTGTTTACTATACACCTTACAGACATAGCCGAAAGGTCATTTTATGCAATGTTTTAGTGTGCCTTCATTTTGACTGTTACCCTACCCTCATGTGTAAGGAGTGGGATTTTCCACTTGTGGCATCATATTGTGCTCGAAAGGTTTCAGGGTTTGGAGCATTTCAGATTTTGAATATTGGGGTTCACGTTGCTCAGCCTGTGATGTGAACATTCCTTGGTGGTCTAGTTAGGATTCGGTGTTCTCTTAACCTGTAGTGTGTAGACTTTTGAGTATGACTTCCCTTACTTAAGGTAGTGTATTTGAGATGCATCCACATGCCGCATCGTTAGTGGTTTGCTCCTTTTTATTCCTGAGTACTTTCCTGCTGTGCCCAGTTTGTTTATTCATGTCCCAGGTGAGCTTCCCATGTATAAGGTCCTGGTTCAATCCCCAGCAGAGAGAGAAAAGGAAAGGGAGGGAGAGAAAAAGAGATAGATATTTGATGATTCTGAAAGTTTTCATTTTATTTCTTTGCTTTATTGATAGTTGTTGTAGGCAATTACCAAAGAAAAGGCATTGTGAATATTAATTTATTTCTTTTAATTTTTTTCCTGTGTTTAAAAAGAATAAATGTAGAGCTGGGGACATGGCTCAACTGATAGAGCTTCTGCATAGCAAGTGTTGAGGTCCAGAGTTCAAACTCCAGTCGTACAAGTAAAATAAAAATTTCCTAAACTTTAAAACAGTCTGTAAAACACACTAGCATATTGGCAAGCGTGGTGGCAGATATCTGTAATTCCAATACTCAAACAGCTGGGCCAGCCTGGGCTACATAGTGAGTCCTTGTCTCAAAAAAGAAAGAAAAGGAGAGAAGGAGGGGATTGGGAGGGACAGAGGGAGAGACAGAGAAAGAAGAAAATGTTAGCGTACTTTTGCCATTTAAATATAATCCCTGTTACCTATTTAGTAATAACTTAAATAAAGAGTTTTCTACTAAAAAAAAATAATAAAACTTAATGTTGTCCCAGACTAGAGTGTTGATACCATCTCTGCTTCCTATATGACCTACCTGGTTCTATATTAAAAAGACCTGACTTTAGCATAATCTTTTTTAAATGTAGCTGTCCTTACTATCATGTATTTTCCCCAAAGGTGAAAGAAGAATACGTGTCCATACACTGTGCTTGCCAGTAGTTTTGACTCTGAATGAAGTCTTTCTGGGAGCTGATGTTCAAGCAATTTCAGGGTTATTGGCCAATATGGGTAAGAGTTGGTATCACTTGTAAATATTTTACAAGTAAGACCGTTAAGCAAATCCACATAGTTTTCCTTGTAATTAGCTTTATAGGTTTCGATTTGGGTGCTTGTAGCTATGTTAATGAAAAGATATGCCACAGAAAATTCTTTTTGCTTTTTTGAACAGTTTTATTGAGACAGAATTATGTATCACAGGACTGCACCATTTTAATTGGTTTTTGTCTAGGTACAGAGTTGTGCAGCCACCATCACAATCTGATTTTAAAACATTTTTATCATCCCACAATGAATTTCATGCTCATAAGCAGTTAGTGCCACTCCTGCTTCCTTCCCTCAGTTGTCTTATCCCCCACTAAACTAATTTCAGTCTCTATAGTCATGTACTTTGGACTTAAATAACCATGGTACCCAGTGTTCAATGTCGGTACTTAGTAGGATTGTTTAATAACAGTGCTTTATGAGCACAGCAGCTTGGATAGTAAGAGGTGGCAGGGCACTATAAAGATCGTTAGACTTGCAGTCATGGAATTTGAGATTAAAAACCAGTTTACTACCACACACATGTTCACAGCCTTCCCAAATCTTGTGTGCTGGGAGAAAACTTATTGGGGTCTTTATCTGTTTACTTCCATCTCACATCTAGTTGCCATCTTGATTCTCTTGTCCTGTTTTCAAATGCAGACTTTAACATCAGTTTGATTCTTACATCCTTTCTCCCTCAGGGAAGAATTTCACAAGGTCCATTTACTTCAGATTCTAGTGTGTCTTTCACAGAAATAGATACCTGTTTTCTATAGGGAAAATTTTCATTCATGGAGCCTCAGTGTAGTTTTTATGTGTGTGTATGTGTGTGTGTGTGCGTGTGTGTGTGTGTGGGACTGGGGTTTGAACTGAGGATTTCATTCTTGCAAAGCAGGAGCTCTACCATTTGAGCTACACCTCCAGTCCATTTTGGTCTGATTATTTTGGAGATGGGGTCTTGTGAACTATTTGCCTGACCTGGCTTCCCTTGATCCTCCTGATCTCAGCTTCCCAAGTAGCTAGGATTATAGGTGTGAGCCACCAGCACCCTGCACTGTATTCTTACATGTTGTTAGAGACTTGAAGGTTGTAGATGTGTGTGGTGGTGTACAGCTATAATTCTAGCTTCTTGGGTGCTGCCTCAGGAGACTGAGGCAGGAGGATCACATTTCTTTGAGGAGCCTGGCTGCATAACAAGACTCTTATCTTCAGAAACCAACAAAAAGGATTAATTGATAGAACGCTTGCCTAGAATGCTGGGTTCCATCCTCAGCATCCAAAAATAAACAAATAAATAAATAAGTACACACCACCTGTTGCTACTACCGATTGGATGGTTTAGTGAGGCCCTCAGATCGACCCCACCGGGGTTGGCCCATGGCCCAGGTCGAGCACTGAGAAGACGGTTGAACTTGACTATCTAGAGGAAGTAAAAGTCATAACAAGGTTTCTGTAGATGAACCTGTGTGGAAGGATCATTTAAAAAGAAAAAGAATTTGAAGATGGTTTCCTAGGAAATTTGAGGGTCACTGTCCTTATTTTTTTAAGTAATATGTATTGAGCCAGTCAAGGTGGAACACCTGCAATCTCAGGAGATAAGAGGCAGGAAGATCTCAGGAGATAGAGGCAGGAAGATCTCAGTTCAAGGCCAGCCAGAAAAGACCCTAATTCAACCCCATTTGTTTTATCATCATTAGGATGAGAGCATATCTTCAACTGATGAAGCCTTAGGGTTGCTGTTGACCAGGTAGCAGTAGTCCCTTCTTTATGCAAATTTTGGTGCAGTAAATAACATCCCTCCATTGAATATATTTTTCATAGCGCATGAAGTCGGGAAGTTGCCAGTTGAGAAATCTTCAAAAGAATTGCACTTTGTTCACTACTGAAATTTTCTTGAGTATGCAGAAATACATATAAACAGAGTGGGGTAAGAGGTGAAAATCTGCCTCAATAACTCTGTTAAGTCTGTGACTGTAAGTAAGAAATTTGTAAAATGTTCTGCTTTTGGCACTTTATTTTCAGTGGTCGTAGCTGTTGTTGTAATCTCCGGAAAACCAAACAATGGGTCCAGGATTTTTTTCTTTTCTTTTTTTTTTTTTGGTTTTTTGTTTTTCTGTACTGGGGTTTGAACTCAGGGCCTACACCTTGAGCCACTCCACCAGCCACCTCCCCCCCTTTTTGTGATAGGTTTTTTTTAAGATAGGGTCCCACAAACTATTTGCCCAGGCTGACTTCAAACCATGATCCTCCTGATCTTGGTCTCCTGAGTAGCTAGGATTATAAGTATGAACCACTGGGGCCTAGCTTTTTTTTTTTTTTTCTGCTGGTTTTATGTCATTTTCCTGCCTTAACAATGAACTTAGCTGGGGCAGTGGTGGTTCACACCTATAAGCCTTAGCTACTTGAGTGATTGAGTTCAGGAGGATCAAGGTTTGAGGCCAGCCTGGGCAAATACCTTGTGAGACCCTATCTTCAAAATTAGCAGAACAAAATGGACTAGAGGTGTGCCTCAAGCATTAGAGTGCCTGCTTTGCAAGTGCAAAATTCTGAGTTCAAACTCCAGGACTCCCCCTTGCGCCCCCCCCCCCAGAAAAAAAGAGTTCCTCACAGTCCTTAAGGATCAAATACATTTGGAACCACACCTGCACATCATACTCCTTCAGGTTGAGCCTGGTAGCCAGGGCCACCTGGTCTTATAGTCAGGGTACCCATCCACCTTGAAGTGTTTCTCTAGCTGCAGATGATGTTCCCTGCTGTAGATGCTGGCAAGGGAGCTTGGGGCAGTGTGAATCTGGCAAGTCACCAGGCTTCTGCATGCTGGCTCCCGCTCTGCTGTGCTCCATGAGATGCTCACATGTTTTTAAACCACATCATGGACATCTGTTTTTGTATGTGCAGAACTGTATCTTTCTTGTTTTAAAGTTAGTTTTTATTTCACAATATATGCATCTGTTTTTCTTTAAAATATTTTATACATGCATTATGCATGTATATATTTGCATATATACCTATTGCTAAAGCTAAATTCCTTCCATATCAGCTTGATTGTACACACAATTACATCCTTATGTATTTACTGTAACCACTTTGGTGCATAACAGGATTTTCTGCTTTTGGCTTAGGTACAACTGCATGGAAAGTACATAGATGGTGTATTTGCATAAATGACATGCTCACTTAATAAACTTTAAAGATCCCTTCATTTTAGTTTATATAAACCTATCCCATTCTGTTTAATGTCTACCTAATTTCACTAAAAGGAACAAATCACAGTTTAGTTATTTTACTACTGATAACCAGTGATGGTGATTTTTAAAATTTTTTGCTGTGACAAATCTGTTTAAAATGTTTTTGCACAAAGAAATGTGCACTTGAATGAGTATATCTATAGCATAAATTCTTAGATAAGAGATTGCTAAAGTTCAAATAATGTTAATATGTAGAGCCAAATTGTCCCTCCCAGAAAGCGTTTTGAAGGTTGTATCCTCACCTTTATTTAAGAAGACACCTATCCCCCTCAATCTCACTAAATCCTCTCTATTATCTACCTATTTTTAGTATCTCATAAGTGACTAGGATAAAGTGTAAATATCCAGAGGCAGGCATATAAAGTCATTTTAAAATTTGTTCTCGCCTAGTTCTCACCATTCACACTTTCCATGGGAACTTCTTTGTCTGCTCCACAGACTTCCTGTCTCTGCCCAATGTCAACCCAGATGCCAGGTATACAGTACAGATGTCAGCGGAAAAGAGTCTTCCTGACATGCAGTTGGGTTCTTTTCAGTCAGCACTCTTGTATACATCAAGCAAAGGTAAGTTTTTGTTTGCTTTATTGTCACAAAAACCACAACATAAGCTCTACTGTGTTAACGTTCAGCACAGTATTGTAGTAAAGGTACGTTTGTTCATGTAGAATGTCTTCTTCTGAGTATGAGAGACTCTTTGGAGTAATTAGGAATGCCTGTTCAGCCAAAAGAGTGTTCCTGATCATAAGAGCTTTGTTGTTATTCTTGGTAAAGCCATGGTGTTTATTTTCCTAGACCATTTTACATTTTATTCACACATTCTTTTCTTTGGAGTCAGGATCTTACTGTATAGTCCAGGCTGGCCTCGAACTCATGTTCCTCCTGCTTCAACCTCCCAAGTCCTGGCATTATACTCATGGGCCACCATACTCAGCCATAAATACTCATTGAGAGTCTGTTTTGTAGCAGACATTCTGTGCATCAGTTTAAAAATCCCTTTATTGAGCTGTGCTCTGGCCTGTATTCCAGTGCTGGGGAGCCTGAGGCAAGAGGATCACTTGAGCCCAGGAGTGCTAGAACAGCCTGGGCAACACAGCGAGACCCTGTCTCAAAAAAAAAAAATTATTGCATAGATTTTAGTTCTATTAGTGAGTCAGATAATAAACAGGATAAACAGTGTAATAGTTAAGGAGAAAAGCAGAGCAGGTAAGGGTATAGGAAGTGCTCGAGTTGCTATTTTAAGATAGAGTAGCCAGGGAAAGACCTCGTCCAGTGGACGTTTTGAAAGGACTTGTGCTGGAGACAGACAGCAGTTCTTAAGGGTGGGACTTGTTCATTCCTAATTAACATCTAATTTGTGTTTTATTCTGAGGCATGTTCAATTTACTTTTTTTTTTGGTGGCACTGGGGTTTGAATTCTAGGCTTCACACTTGCTAGGCAGGCTAAACTCTACCACTTGAGCCGCTCTGCTAACCCTTTTTTCTGCTGAGTATTTTGAGATAGGGTCTCGTTTTTCATTTTCCCTGGGCTGGCCTTGAAACTCAATCCTCCTGATCTCTGCCTCCTGAGTAGCTAGGATTACAGATGTGAGACACCGGTGCCCGTCTAGACATTTATGTCTTACTTGACAGAACAAAACAAGACTGGGCACTGGAAGAATTTTTTCAATTTTGGATTTTTTTCAAATATTTGATTATTTGCATGTACATTATGAGATATCTTGGGGATGGGATCAGATCTTAACATAAAGTTCACTTGTGTTTCCTATACATCTTACAGACATAGCCAAAGATCATTTTATACAATATTTTAGTGTGCCTTCATTTTGACCGCTACCCTACCCTCATGTCTAAGGAGCGGGATTTTCCACTTGTGGTGCTTGAAAGATTTCAGAGTTTGGATATTTGGGTTCAGGTTGCTCAACCTGTAGTGTGTAGACTTTTGAGTCTGGCTTCCTTTACTTAGCATTTTGAGATTCATCCACATGCTGCATCTTAGTGATTTACTCCTTTTTATTCCTGAGTAGTTTCTTGCTGTGTCCAGTTTGTTTATTCACATCCCAGATGAGCTTACCATGCAGAAGGTCCTGGGTTCAATCCCCAGCAGAGAAACAGAGAGAGAGAAAGAGAGAGACAGACAGACAGAGAGACAGAGAGAGAGAGAAGAGAGACAGAGAGAGAGAGAGAGAGAGAGAGGAGAGAGATAATTTGATGATTCTTAAAAGTTTTCATTTTTACTTTGAATTACTGATAGTTGTTGTAGGTAACTAGCAAAGAAAGGGCATTGTAACTACTAATCTATTTCCTTTAATTTTTTTTTTCTGTGTTTAAAAAGAGTAAAATTAAAGCTAGGAGCATTGCTCAATTGGTAGAGGTCTTGGGTAGCAAGTGTGAAGCCCTGAGTTCAGACTCCAGTACTGCAAATAAAATAAATAAATAAAATAAAAATTTTCTGAACTTAAAAAAGGCCACAAAGCACACTAGCATATTGGCAGGTGTGCTGACAAGATACCTGTAATTCCAACACTCATATGGCTGGGCCAGCCTGGGCTACATAGTGAGTCCTCCTCTCAAAAAAGAAAGCGGGGTGGTGGGGGGATATAGAGAAAGAAGTGGAGAAGGAAGAAAATGCTAGGATATTATCATTTAAATATGCTCCCTGTTATCTGTTTAGTAATACTGTAAATAAAGAGTTTTATACTCAAAAAATAATAATAAAAAAAACTTTATTGTTGTCACAGACTAGAGTGTTGATAGCATCTCTGCTTCCTATATGACACTACTTGGTTCAATAGTGAAAAGACCTGACTCTAGCATAATCTTTTTTGAATGTAGCTGTCCTTACTATCATGTGTTTTCCCCAAAGGTGAAAGAAGAATACTATCCGTACTTTGTGTTTGCCAGTAGTTTCAACTCTGAATGAAGTCTTTCTGGAAGCTGATGTTCAAGCAATTTCAGGGTTATTGGCCAATATGGGTAAGAGTGGATATCACTTGTAAATATTTTACAAGTAAAACCATTAAGCAAATTCACATATTTTGTTTTCTTGTAAATGATTAGCTTTATAGGTTTCAATTTGGGTGCTTATAGCTATGTCAATAAAAAGATCTGCCACAGATAATACTTTTTGCTTGTTTAAACAGCACTACTGAGATAGAATTATTGTCACAGGACTGCACCATTTTAATTGTACCATTCCATTGTTTTTAGTCTATCTACAGAGTTGTGCAGCCATCATCGCAGTCTGAGTTTAGAGCACTTTTATCTTCTGCCCATAAGCAATTAGCGGCACTCCTGCCTCCTTCCCTCGCTTGCCTTGTCCCCAGTAAACTGATTTCAGTCTGTACTCATCTGCTTTGGACTTAATAACCATGCTACCCAGTGTTTAATGTCGGTACTTAGTAGGATTGTTTATAACAGTGCTTTATGAGCACAGTAGCTTGGATAGTAAGAGGTGGCAGGGCACTATAAAGATTGTTAGACCTGTAGTCATGAAATTTGAGATTAAAAACTAGTTTACTACCACACACATGTTCACAGCCTTCCCAAATCTTGTGTGCTAGGAGAAAACTTATTTGGGTCTTTAACTATTTACTTCCATCTCAGATCTAGTTGTCATTTTGATTCTCTTGTCCCGTTTTCAAATGCAGAGTTTAACATCAGTTTGGTTCTTACATCCTTTCTCCTCAGGGAAGCCTTTCATAAGATTGATTTCTTTCACATTTCGATGTGCCTTTCACAGAAATAGATACCCCTTTTCTGAGTTTCCTATAGGGAAAATTTTCTTTCATGGAGCCTCAGTTTAGTTTTAGCTTTGTTCATAGCGTTTTTCATTTGGTTCTTTTGTTTTGAGACAGGGTCATGCTATATACCTCCTAAGCACTGGGATTACAGGCATGTAATTTACATGTTTCCCTAACTGCTCTGTGTCTCTACCTCACCTCCCAAAAAAATAGAGAACTCTGGAATCATGGAATAGGCTTATTTATCCAGTGTCTAGCATTTAATGTCCAAGCTTACAGACTTCAAGTAATCTTCTCATAGCATTTTATCTACAAGCTCTTGATAATAGTGCTTTTTATAAAAAGTACTGATCAGGGCTGCTTTAGATCTTGTTTATTTCTGTGTTTTTCTGAATTTCCAAGATCTGCTTGCCTGGTGTGTGTAATCTCTTTTAGATGCTGTGGGCAACCTGCTCTCCCCTCATAGGAAAGGCTCTAGTTTCAAGGTACATATTTCCATTTTGGAATATAAGTACACAGAAGTAGAGCTTCTCCTCTACTTCAGGGTTTTTTTTGTCATTGTTTTGATTTTTTCTCATATCTGTCTTCCTTCTCAGGTTTTCTGTCTATTTCTATTTAACATGCACCGCTTCATCCTTCCCTTCCCTACAACACCCTGACATGTCTGACTCTTCCATTCTAGGTTTTTTCTGAAGCACATATTACTGACCAGGTATTTTGCTTATTTATTATTTTCTTCTCCTTGTATAGAATGCAGTCTGACATAACCATAGGGCTTTTATCTTTTTCATTCACTACTTTGTTCCAGCACCTAAACAGTTCCCTGCATAATAGCTGGGGATGTGGCTCAAGTGGTAGAGTGCAAAGGCCTAAGTTCAAACCACAGTACTGCCAAAACAATAAACAAAAATCCAAAACAAACATAATAGACACTCATTAAATATTTTTAATGTGTACTTGGAGCTTTGCTTCTTTCATTTCCCGTAGTACTTGCCTCCTTCTTAGTGACTGTCCACATACTAATTTCAAAAATCATACAGCTTTTTGTTTTTTCATTCAATGACACTTGTTGGAAGCACAGTAGGAGACTACATGCAGCTCTGAATGCCTCATGGGTAGTTGGGAATTTTAGAAAGAGTAAGGTGGGGTTGATGGATAGAAAATTACTAATAGGTACCATCAAGATTACCAAGGACTATTGGCACACCCGTGTGATGCCAGCATTTGGTCTGCTGAGGCAGGATGATTGTGAGTTCAAGACCAGCCTGGGATACCTATTGAGACACTGTCTCAAAGGAACAGAAAAAAAAAGAGTAAAGGGGCTTCTTGCTAACAAGATTCTTATGAAGATAGTCCAGGGTAATTAGACATCAGCTGGGGGATGATGGAGAATGATGAAACTGATGAGTTGTAGAGAGTGATCAGATATTGAGGGTGGGGGTTCTTGCTAAAACTGGATTTTATAAGAAAGGTCACAGATAGGACCAGAGAAAGTTTAGTTTGGTAGGCTGAGTCATGGTGGTGCATGCCTATAATAAAAGGCAGAGGCAGATATCAGGAAGATCAAGATTTGAGGCTAGCTGGGAAAAAGTTGGTGAGATCCCTTCTCAACACACAAGCTGGGCATGATTGTGCACCCCTGTGATCCCAGCTATGCATGAGGTATATTTAGGAGGATTGCTGCCAAGGCCAGCTGGGACAGAATAGTGCAAAAGGACCGGTGGTGTAGCTCAAGTGGTAAAGCACCTGCTTAGCAAGGGTAAGACCCTGAGTTCAAACGCCAGTACTAGGAAGAAAGAAAGAAAAAGAAGGAAGGACATAAAAAAGGAAGGAAAAGCAAAAACAGAGAAAGGAAGAGAGTTGGTTTCGTCAGGCAGAGAGTGTGTAACAGGACACAGGAAGTTCAGTGCCCAGGCCCTGTCCCCATAGCACTGATGCACTGCAGCCCTGGGAAGTAGGCGGCTGCACAAGTGCAGGTGCTCATGGGCATCAGAAGCCCAGCTGGTTCTGAGGACAGTGACCCAGCATGGGCACCGCCAGGACACGTGAAGGTGTGTCAGTATGACACATGAGCAGTGCTCTCTTGTCCCTCATAAATTGCGCTTCCCCCAGGGTTCCTCGTAGTCTTTTATTTAGCCGGTGCCCTTGCTTTAGTCCTATCTCATTCCTGTTTTCTCTGCCTCTTTTACCCCTTTCCGTCCCCTGGAAACCTTTACCTCAAAACTTCATCATTCTCCATGAAGCTAATACACTATTTAAATGTCACTCTTGCTTATGAACTCTTTTGTACTTAGTAGTCATCATTTGTATTACTACTTTTCATCATTGATTTGCAAGCTTTGGTATCTTGATTAGTTTCTCTAAGTGTGGGAGAAACAGAGACAGCCACCACTCATTATCATGCAGCATTGGTAGAACACTTAGTGGATACCATAGCCCGTCATGTGTGCCTTTGTCATCTGCTACGTACTGACGTCCTTCCTGTGATACTGCTTAGATTGTTACATCACTGTCACTATGTCATGGTAGATAGTAGACCTATTTTATGATGAGGAAACATATAAGATAGCTTTGCCATGGTCAGTTCATTAACTGCTCCAGACTTTTAGGTGACACTGTAGACACAAGTTAATACACGTATATGACTTCTTAGAATATTTTTTGAAACAATAATTCATAGTAAATTTGGAAATTCTGTCTGACATTTACAAAATTCTGTACTTTTTAAATGTCTTCTTTTGGTGGGCACGGGGTTTGTTTTTCATTACAGAAATCATTCCAGACTGGACAAACGTGTATCTAGAAGAACACATTTTGCTGTGTCAAGTGAAAACCCAGCCCTTGGTTCACCTTATGCTCACAACTCATCCCAGTTTGTACAGAATTGACAATCTCTCAGATGAGGAAAGATGGATTCCTTTTTTTAGTGGCTTTTTCTAGATGTTTTCTAAGCGTAATCATACTCATTCCAGTGCTGAATTGAGAAGAGTTTGTTTGTTATCTAAAGCTTTATATTTTTATCTTTTTGCTAGTTATATGTAGAGAGATACTGGTTCAGGAAGCTCCTGAAAATAGTACCTTTATTTAGTTTCCTAAGTCAAGTCTCTAGACAGATGTAAGAAATAAAGAAAATGTCAAGTTGACCAGAGCAGCCTATTTATTTAAACAAATTGATCTGGAAGATGTATGGTAAGAGTGAAATGACATCTGAGTACCCTAGGTCCATGTTCAATGTAATGCTGTCTTTGAAGTAAAGGGAAAATATTTATCTGAGTTGTAATATTTTGCTTTTGATAGGAAATTTATTAAAGTCATATTATTTATTGCCATATTTATTAAAGTTAAAGCATAAAAATGTTAAATCATCATCTATTTACAGTTGTGCTCAAGTTAGTATATGTAGAGATAGGGAGTAATGTTTTGGTTAAAATCTTTCAAAATTTTTTAAAAATTTAAGATATCTTTTGTATTCATTATTTTTATCATCTTTGACAAAATATCTGACAAAATCACCTAAGGGAAGAAAGATTTATTCTACCTCACCGTTTCAGAGGTGTCAGTCCATCATGTGGGAGGTGTTGTGGATCAGAGCAGTTCCCATCATGCAGCCAGAGCAGAGAAAAGGAACACAGGACCACCAAGGCAAGATATTCCCTTCAAGGACACCCCAGGACCTTCTTCCTCCAACCAGGCCCCACCTCCCACCTTCACCTCCCCCCAGTAATGGCATCAAACTATGAATCAATTAAGGAGTTTTAATCCATCCAGAGAGCTCATGATGTAATCGTCTCTGCAAACACCATCTCAGACGCCCCAGAGGTGTGTCTCTGGTTCCTGTGTGCTTCTCAATCCAGTCAAGGTGACATTTAAGGTGTTGTATGACAGGAGAGTTAGCACTCCCTTGACAAGGATGGAAGGGCCTCGGCCCTGACAACACCCACGTTGAAGACATTGCTGCCTACTTCATGGCATTTAACCATGGTTAAAAAATTTAAAGAGTTGACAGGTAAGATTAACCATCGTAAAGGAGAAACAGGAGGTGTAATTTTTTACAAATGAAAATTGTTCTTAACATTATTAATTTGTATTACAAATAATCTTACTTATTGATAAGTTCAATTAACTAAACTTAAATTTCCCTCTCTCTCTCTCTTTTTTTTTTGAGACAGGTCTAACTGTGCATCCCAGGCTGGCCTTGAACTCTAATCCTTCCTCACCCCCTGAGTGCTAGGAGTACAGGCCATGCCACCATACCTGTTCAGTCTTACTTTTTTCCTCCCATTAAAAAATAGCAGCATAGCAAGTTGACATGGAATTTTAATGTTGTTGTTTGTGTCTATAATATCGTAACTATCAGGAAGAGAGGAGGCTGCAGATGTGCTGGGTAGTGGAGACCAGCTTGCAAGTAGGATGCCCTCAGTCAGCACCACTAAAAAAAATGAGAGACAAGTAAAGCACTCCTAATACTTTCTGAGAGAAAACAGTGTTAACACGTCATTCTCTCTCCCTTCCTCTTTTCTCCCTCATTTGGAATTTAGATTTACAGGTCAGTTAAATACAATGCAAAGTTCTCACCCCCATCATTTTACTCGATGTGTGTGATGGTTCACACCATCGTCCATCTCCTTGGGAAGTGAGGCGAGAGATACCTGAGCCCACAGGTTTGGTCCACACCATCGTCACCTCCTTGGAAAGTGAGCGAGAGATCATCTGAGCCCACAGACTTGAGACCAGCCTAGGCAACACAGCAGCCCGTGTCAAACAAAGAAAGAATAGAAAATTTTTAAAATTTTTCAGCTGCTTGGTCCAAGGAGAGATGGTGAGTTCGGGCCGTCCTGGACACATAGTGAGAGCCTATCTCAAATAAATACATCAACATAAAGTAAATTACAAAAGCATTATACTCTTGTGAAATCCAGTAAATTCAAATCGATTCTTACTACTTTAACTAATTCCAGATGTTATTTGGACTGTACTACTATTAACTAATTCCAGATGTTATTTGGACCTCACTGACATCATTTGTTCACTACAGCATTATATAGTGTTACATAGGATTGCATTTGCTTTTGAAATAATAGTTAGGATCAGAAGTTAATTTGGATTTCTTGGGATTTAAGCAGCTTTGTTTTAACTTCATCTTCTTCATATTATGAATAACTGTGATTGGCCTAGTGAGTAAGGCCCAAACTCTTGGAGGTAACAGTCCTTTACTTGCTTTTTTTTCCCTGTGACTCTCCTACCTGTGTCTAGCAGCTGTAATCACCTCCTCACTTCCTCGGGAGCCCTCAGCATCAATGACAGAATCATCCCTCAGCCCCTGTTCTTCAGCTCTCCACGGAGAAACTGAGCAGAGATGGTGCTTTCCTCCTGGATGCAGGCTCTGTGAGTAGTTTGACTTCCTGACCCCCTCACTGTACCACTGTTCCTTTTTAGCATTAGGTTTCCTTCCCCATGGTATCTCTCTTCTTGAATAGATTGTACTCTTTGCTCTACATGTATTTGTGTCAGCCATTTTCTCCCACCACTGCCTTTTTCCATACCAGGTGTCACTGTGGCAAATACTAATTGCACTGTCTCCATTGTGGTAAATGCTAGTTGTTTTTAGTCCTGTTACGATCTGTCAATTCTGTAAATACATCCTTCTGACCTTTCAAAATACTCCCAGAGGTGTGGTGCCAACACTTCCTATGAGGCATCCTCTAAAAATTTTACTCCTATTCACAGGCACTGATGCTTTGCGCTGGGAAAAACTGTGCAGAGTTTTCTCCACCAAGTGCTAGGAGTTCCAAACTATGCATCAATTCCACAGACTATGGTAAGACTTTTACTTCAGTGACTATAGACTTAAGGACATGTCAAGTGAGGCAAAAACATGACTATCACATTTTGAAATCAGAAATCAACACTCCAAATTTCTCCCAAAAAGAAAATGTGCCACAGATGTTCTTCCAAATGAAAACATTTGTTTTGTGTGTGTGTGTGTGTGTGTGTGTGTGTGTGTGTGTGTGTGTGTGTGTGTGTCATACTGGATCTTGCTGTGTTTACTGGTCTATGACCTCATGGGCTTAAATGGTCTTCTGTGTCAGCCTCCTAAGTACCTGGGACTACATGGGCTTGCCACCATGCTAGTTGATATTATATTTTAATGACTTCTTTTTTCCCTGTTTTTTTGAGACAGTGTCATCCTGTATGGCCAGGCTGGGCTGGAACCCACAATGCTCCTACCTCACCTCCTAATCTAAGATTGGCATTCTTAGCCAGTTATCACTGGCTTATGCCTAAGATTCTAGCTACTCAGGAGGCAGTGATCAGGAGGATCAGTTTGCAGCCAGCCTGGGAAATAGTTCCAGAGAACTTATTTTGAAAATACCCAATACAAAAAAGACTGGCAGTGTGGCTTAAATGGTAGAGTGCCTGCCTAGCAAGGTGAGGTCTGAGTTGAAATCCCCCAGTACTGTCAAAAAAAGAGAGAATGGCATTCTTCGTGTGACTTCGCATTGACTTGTCTATGTTAAGACAGTGTTCTATGGAGGAGAAAGCAATGAATTTAGTTAATGACCAAAAAAGAGTTTACTACAAATGATATTAGTGTTGTGAGTCTCTCTCTCTGTCTTTCTCTCTCTGTTTCTATTTTCTCTTTTACAGTGAGACTGGTGCTATGCCTCACACATTGTAGGGAAGGAGTCTACCACTGAGCTACAACCCTTCTGGTGTTTTTTGTTTTGTTCTTGGTAAATGATTTCAGTCTTTGGAAGGGCCTTTCCTTTTCTCTCTCTCCCCTCCCTTTTTTTGGGGGTGGAGTAGACAGAGGATTGTATTGAAGACCTCTCATTTGCCAGGCAGGTGCTTAGCAGCGTCTTTTTTTTTTTTTTTTGGTAGGACGGGTTTGAATTCAGAGCTTTACGCTTATAAAGCAGGCACTCTACCACTTGAACGATACCTCCAGTCTTTGGCAGGGTCTTTGAAATGCTGTTTTGAAGTAAGAACTAAACTACTTGAAACTGGTTTAATAGCAAATGACAGGTGGTCACTTCAGTTGGATTATATTGGTTACTTAAGATAGGAATAATGACCTTTGTGTATCACTAGCCATGTGGTCTTGGCCAAGTCACTACAAATAGTCTTGTAAAGTAAGAATGTTCTTGCTTATGAAAGAATAGTTGAAATAGTCCCTGAGAACTATAGCATTTGGATAGTTTTGAATTCTAAAGTTCAAATCAATAATGACAATCTTTCTTAGTGTTTTTTTTTTCAATCCCTCTTACCAGTTTGTAGCCACCTTTGGAATATGTGTTTTATTTCATCACTTTTCCATATTGGCAGTTTTAAGTGATGGGTTCTATGTCTATTGGTGGAGTCATTAGGTGCTTCAGCTATTTAAAAAGACTGATGTGTCAAGATTCTAGCTAGGATAATTGACACCCTGGTCACTGTCAGTTGGATTATAAGACCTGGTTTTCAGACCTTGAACAAAATTACTGGACTCAGTGAGCAGGTATTTTAAGTAATGAGGAAATAAAATGTCATGTTTGTTAATACCTGAATAAATCCATTTATTCTAAGGTCATAAAAATGTAGAGAAGAGTTAGGACATTCTCTTAGATCACGGAGGCCCCACCTATTTTGTATTCAGGTTTTATTGGAACACAGCTGTGCCCATTCTTACATATTGTCTATGGCCACTTTAATGTAACAGTGGCAGAGTCAGAATTTCAGCTGAGACAAATGAACTCCAAGAAAAGTATTCACTATCTGGACCAACAAAACCACCAGGCAATTGATTCATAAGCATGGTAAAATTTGAGGAGTGTTATAGTCCTTATAATAGACACGTAACTTAAAGCTGATTGGATACTGTTGGTTTTGTCTAACAGACAGAATTTGATACACCAGAGTCGCCAGAACAATAGCTTTTTCTCATGGCATAGAGAGCAGAGACCATTTTTCTTAGTACTTTATGTAATAAGGTAAGTCAAGTTTTTCATTTGTGACATACTTTGTTTGGTCTTGACAAGAACCTGTTTTGAATCAGATATATACAAAGTAATACTTATGCAAATTATGTAATATAGAAAAGAAGAAGAAAAATAATTATTTTCAGTAGATAGTACTAATTTGTGCTTTATAAACAATTATTGGAATTACTTGTTACAAAAAAACTTCACAGTTTGTTCCAATTCCACTATACACTTTCCCTTAAACAACACAAAGTTCACACAATTAACCAAATGTTCTCAGAGAAACCTCTAGAAGTAGCCATTTGTATAATAAATATATGGTTATCACAGTAGGTCAAAAATCTGTGACAAGTCTGCTGTTTCTTTTTTTGGCAGTACTGAAGTTTGAACTCAGGGCTTTAGGCTTGCTGGGCAGGCACTCTATTGCTTGAGCCACACCTCCAGTCCTAGATCCACTCTTACCTTTACATTTTATCCAACAGTAAAATTACATTTTACTTGTGAGGGACGAGAGTCCAGTGAATGCACACTTCCTTCAAAACATGGTAGAAGACAGAACAGAATCTGCCTTGTCATATTAGGAATTCTTATTGCATATATAGCAAGTGAAAATGAAGAAATCGGACTTAGTATTGTTAAGGAAATCACAGCAATGCAGAATTCCTGGGAACTTGTCCTACCTTCGTTTTTTAAGTTTGTGACTTAAATGTGGTGGTTGAGATGTTTTTCACTGTAATCTCAACAAACTATAGCAAACAAAGGACCACCACAGAGAATCAAACACGGACCTCTGAAATGCTGTATTTTTAAAATCAAAATATATCTACCATTTTTAAAATTTGCATGTATTTTCATTGTCTTTAAGAACAATGAGAATGATAGACTGTTTTGCAATAATTAGACTAAAAGACTTATTTCTTCTAATCAAGGATATACAACAGCTATTATGTAGGAGACCACCAAATGTGATGTCAAGATTTAAGACTTATTTCTTCAAGGATATACAACAGCTATTATGTACCACCAAATGTGATGTCAAGATTTTGTTAACTATTACTAATATAACCCTTACATAGAAATTTTAATTTTATAAAGTAGTGTATAATTCTATAACATTAAATTCTTGTTCTCAAATTAAAATATCTATTGATCTTCAATATGCTGTGTAAAATCTTGCTTCTCTGGAATTTTACCAACAAGGTTTTTCTTCCTTTTTACAATTTATAATTTGCACTGTTTCATTCTGTTTAAAAAAAAAAGACTCATTTGTAACCCATGCAAACAATCTTTGATCCGTACTAACTCATGAATTTGACTTTCCAGTAAAGTTAATTAAAAGCTTACACACAGCCTGGCAATCTTTCTTTTTCTTGTGCTTGGATATGGCTTTTTTCAAGGTTTTAAGGTCTGCTGGGCAGACCTTTGGAGTTTCTGATTAAGGTTTTTGGTGAGATCTGAGAATTTGCATTTCTAGCAAGTTCCCAGGTTAGGCTGCTGGTCCAGGGACCTGACTGAGAATTATTGCCTCAGGGTTGTCTGCACAGCCTCCACCTCCCCCAGTGGGTTAGGTTATTCCACCCTTGGGAGACAAGATTCAAAACAAATTTATCCTGGACCCTCCCTCTCTGGGAGTGGGTGCTCTAGCTGGCATCCATTTTGAGGCCCTGGGGACAGGTCCAGAGGTCTGGCTGGCAAGGCTGTCTTGTCAAATGTTTTGGCTGGGCTTGAAAACCTAGGATCTCTTGATAGCTGGCAGGACCAAGTTTTTCTGGGTAACCAACTGCCCAGCATGCTGCGCCTTGTTGAGTTTTTCCTTTTGGACTATAGTGAAAGCCTCTGAGGCTAGTGGGGAGCTGGTCTAGGCCAGATGTAAAGCAAGACCCCATCTCAAGAATAACCAATATGAAAAGGACAGGCTGAGTGACTGAAGTAGGAGAGGAAATTCCCTCCTCTTCCTCTTCTGCTTGGCTGGTGTTTAGATGCAGTGGCAGGAGCTAGAGCATCATCTTGTACCACAAGCTGTGTATGGAAGATGACAGCAATTAGAAAGGACACTTGGCCCCTCATGTGGGAAAAGGTTATTAATACAGCTAGAACTTTTGTGGGAGAGAGAAAATTACAGACAACCAAATAGTTCTATGTCCCCTGTATCAGTTATCTATTGCTGTCTAACAAGTCACCCCAAAAAACTATCTGAAAACAGCACCTATTTGTGCTTGTGATTCTGTGGTTGGCAGCGCAGGCAGGCACACCTGGACAGCTCTGCTGGTCTCACCTGAGTCCTCGGGCAGCGACAGCCATCTGATGGCACGGCCTCCTCACATGTCTGGCCGTGGAGCTGGCTGTCAGCTGAGTCACATCTGTGTCAGGTCACCTCAGCCTTCTCCTGTGGCACAAGGTTTCCCAGTAAGCAGCAAAACAGCAAGCCTAGTGCACAAGTGCTTTTCAAACCTCTGCTTTGTCACCTTTGTAATGTTCATTGGCCAAATCACAACAGATCTTGACCAAAACATCTTACTGGATCAATGTGGGAGGGGTGATGAATAGGTAAGGACGCAGGGATAGGGATTCATGGAGGAGGGGCGCTACTACTGGAACAGCCAAGTGTGCTGTGACTATAAAAACCCCTGGCTAAGTAAAATTCAATGTAATCTATCAACCTAACAATGAAGAAGAAACCTCAAACATCTCAGTAGATGCCAACACAAAAAGTGATAAATTTTTTGTGTTGGCACTGGGATTGGACTCAGCACTTTGCATTGCAAAGCTGGCACTCTACAACTCGAGCTATATCTCACCTCCAGTCCACTTTGCTCTGATTATTTTGGGGATGGGATCTCCCAAACTATTTGCACAGGCTAGCCTTGAACTATGATCCTCCTGATCTTAGCCTCCTAAGTAGCTAGGATCACAGGCATGATCCACCAGTGTCTGGCTAGCATTTAATAAAATTTTAATATTGTTGTGGGAATCTCAAGCTGAGATATGGGACACTGAGGCAGTTTAGCAGGAAGCAGTTTTTATTGTGCTGGCACAGACCCAGCGAACTCCTGTCCAAAGGCTGAGCCCCTAGAACAAGGGGTCTCACCTTATATATCCTTGCAAGCAGGTTACAGAAGGAAAAAGCAAAGTCTAATCCATATATGGTTATATGCAGTTCCATAGGCTACTTTACCCCACTGCTACGTGACTTTCCCCTCCCCAGTGTTATGTGACCCTCTCCACGCTCAGATTCCTCAGGTTTTACCTCTCTACTAAGCCATCCCACTCCCTGCTACTTTATCAGAACTCAGGCCTACTGTTTTTTTCTTCTGATCCTTCTCCCTGCTCCTTATAAAAACTTCAACTCAGAATTGAAGGATACTTCCTGAACCCTGATAAAGGTTATCTATCAAATACCTATAGCAAACCTACCTTATCCTTACTGAAATATTTGAGACATTTCTATTAAGGTCAGACAGGAGAGAACTCTGCTTCCTATCACTGGTAACATTCTACCTTGTACCAGATGTCTTGGACATCATGGTAAGACGAAAAATAAATGAAAGGATAAAAACTACAATGGAGGAGAAATTGTACTTTTATGTGCAGGGTCATATGACTGCATGGAATTCAAGGGTGTCTGCAGGTACACTACCTAAGAAGAATTCAGTGAGCTGACTGGATGAAAGGTCGATAAACACATGGGAAAGACGGAATGACTTAAGAATTATATCCAAGGAGGATGTAGCTCTGTGGTAGAGCACTTGCCTAGCATGTGGGAAGCACCCTGGGTTAAATCCCAAGTATTGCAAGGTCAAAACAGAACAAAAGCCAAAAATGACAATATCCAGGAGGGAATGGGACCCAGGCTTTAGGCAGGTGTGTGGCTTATTTCCCCCCCAAAAAAAATTGAAAAGAAGAAGGTGGGGAGTTGGCACACCTGTAATCCTAGCACTTCAGAGGCTCAGGAAGGAGGATCAAGCATTCAAGGCAGCTGGGACTACACACTGAGACTCTGCCCAAGATTCTCCCCACACCCCAAGAAGAGGAAGAGGACAAGGAATTGGAGGAGGAGAACAACAGCAGCAACAACAAGAGATCTGAAGCAAATAAAGTAAAATCTCATCTGTTGCATTGGATGGGGGATGCAAGTGTGTCTGCTACATTGTTTTCTTTCAAAGACTGTCTCTACCCTTCCACCTTGTGAGGAAACAGTAACAGGTAACAGTCAGAATAAGAAAGCAAAAACAAGCACTTTGGCACACTGAAGTTCCGGGAAGTTTATCAAGCACTTGCCAACCTGCACAACTGTGAGAAATAAATTTCTGTTAATTACAGATAACCCTCTCTAAGGCATTTTGTAACAGCAGCACAAATGGGCTGTAACACTTTTTCTCTGCTCACTTTTTCCCTCTGCTTCTGGGTTCCAAGGCTTCTGATACAAAATCTGATGAGGGAAATTATGGTGAAGTGGGCTCTCTCCACCCCCCCACACAACAGATGTTAAAAGTGCTCCATGGTGCTTTAGGGAACACTTCTTTTTGTGACAGTGGAGTTTGACTGCTACGAAGGATTAGTTTGACGTCAGTCACTCCAGGTTTAAAGACAAAGGAATTGAATACCTTGAGTGTAGATAGGATGAGGTCTTTAAAAGCCAAAATTTATCACAGATTTTCAGATCCAACTGAAGAGGCCATTGAAGCATCCACTGGCTTTAGCTTCACAGGGAGAAATACCAGACTCCATGACCCACAAGGAAGAAACTGTTGGAGTAGGTTATTTTTTGAATTTTTTAAAAAAAAATTGTAATGGTCTTTGGACCAATAAGACAAGCTGTGGCTTGTGCCAGCTGTGATTGGTTCACTTGTTCTCTGACATCACCGAGGGGCCATTGTTAGTAAGGCCAACTGCCATCCAGCAGGTATATAAGGAATTTGCCTGGGCTGGATTTTTGTCCATACAGTGCAGGAGCTCTTGGTTGGTGACCTGCTGGACACTACAAAGCTTGGTTGACGGATTTTGGGATTTTGCTTTTGGTCTTTGTTTTTGTGGCCCTGTTTTTGCTAATATTTTTCATTTTTATTTACCTTTTGATTTGATATTTTCTTTTATTTTTTTCTTTTGTTTCTTTTCTGTTACGTTTTCTTTTTTTCTCAGGTAGTTGTTTTTTGTTTTTATTCTTGGTTATTTTTTTTGGGCTTTTTAATTTGTTTTTTTCTAAAATTTGGTAAAGATGCCAGATCATTCTATAGTGAGAGGTATGAGTGGCTGACAGCACAGCGCTCTCTCAGTGCCAGGTCCCTGATGAGATCCTCAAGGCTCAGTATTGGCTCCTGAGGACCATAGGCGAAGGTACTTTGGCCATGTGAAACTTGCCTACCACCCTCACAGAACCAGGTTGCAGTAAAACTACAGCAGAAGTGGGGAAAGCTCCTACCTTGCGAATGAAATCTCTATACTGAAGACACTGGACCACCCTAACATCATCAGACTGTTTCAGGTGATCGAAACAGTGGACCATGTCTACCTGGTCATGGAGTACGTGAGCGGAGGGCAGCTCCGACAGCAATCAAGGACGCCCAGCGCCTGTGTGAGGAGAAGGCCCGTGGCATTTTCAAGCAGATCCTGTGTGCAGTCAAATACTGTCACGACAGAGGCATTGTGCACAGAGACCTGAAAGCTGACAACATCCTGCTTGATACTGAAGGCAACGTGAAAGTCATCGACTTTGGCCTTGGCACCAGGTACTCCATTGGAGAGGAGCTCACAGATTGGTGTGGTGCCTTTACACACCGGGCACCTGAAGTATTCCTGCGCCTACCTATGATGGCCGAAAGGTGGACGTCTGGAGCCTGGGCGTCGTCCTCTACTGTATGGTGACGGGAGCCTTGCCCTTTAGAGGGGAGACTGTTATGCAGGTGCGGCGGGCAGTCCTGGAATTAAGGTATGACATACCCAGATACCTTTCTATGGGCTTGAGAAATGTCATAGTTCAGATGCTCACGAAAAACCCTAGTGAGAGGCCCACTGTAGACCACGTCGTGGGGCACCCTTGGCTAAGGCAAGGGGAGGAAGGGTCACCTAGTCCAGCTGTGGAGCGTCTGCCCAAACACCCGGACCTGCAATCGTGGTGGCCATGCGTGACCTGGTTACAACCCAGATGACATTCGCCAGTCTCTACTGCAGAGACGATTTGATGAGGCGATGGCCACCTACCTCATGTTTGAGAGATCAAATGTGCCAGGAGGTTACATTCAGAGCCCGAATTAAGCCCCAGGTGCGCCCAGAGATTGTGCCCACCCCATCCCCTGCAGACCTTCCACCTTTGCTCCCCCCTAAGGAGGAGAGCCAGTGCACCTGGCCTTCTTCAGACCTTCACGTTGTCCTCCGATGACAAGACAGGGCACAGGGGCAGAGGAACAGCCAGCCTGCCTAATGTTCCCCTCTGCATCCTGCCAAGGAATGTCTCTACCACAAGCATCGTCCCCCAGCCTGGTCCTGCGGCTGCTCCGCCCCTGGGGAGGTAGAGAGTGGCATGTCCTCTAAGGGAATGTCCTCAGATGAACACGCCTTCACCAGCGGCAGCCCCACGATGTGGCCACAGTGCCTTCCAGCGGGAATATCAAGGCTGGAAGAGGGTGAGGAGGAGGATTGTGAACTCTGTTTTAAGACTGTGTTGTTGTGTGCGGGGCCAAAAGTGACACCCTCACTTCCACAACTAAGTGGCTTCAGTGAAAGCTACAGACAGCTGAGAAAGGCCAGTAACAACAGAGAGCCAGAGGACCCCGTGTGCGGTGCATCCTTTCACCATATGTGGGGGTTGGACCAGGTATATCCTCAGCCAGCTGCAGGAAGGATTCAAGCAGGACTTTCAAGCTGCTGTGAGCCCAGCAAGCCCAGCAAAGGCCTCTGTCCAGCACAGGAGTGAGGAGTGAAACATCTTTCCATGGAATGGCCCATGGTCATGGCCTTCCTCATGGGACATGGAGGTCTCCACTAAGAAAATCACCTGGAACCAAAATGTGAGGAAAGCTGGGAATGACCAGGCATGTACTTTTT